TAGAACAGAAATAAATGCTCAAATCATGCTGGGTCATTGCAATAGCAGCACACGCTGATAGCTGTATCACCCTAAATTTTACACTACATCCTTTTTCCAGAATGTAGATATTGCATTGCTATCATTAATTGCAGACCTCCAAGTGACAGTGCATAGTTGCAAGATTTTTGGAATGTATTTTATGGGAAGGACGTGAAAATTGTAGTACATATCAGGATGTTGTTGCTGATAACCAGGTGTATAACAGAGGCAGAAAAAACAGTTGCTTGGAGCAGAAAATACGAACTGTGTGGGTGATTTTAGCCTGTAGTAAATGTAGAGCAAACCAGTTTGCCTGTGGCTAAAAAACCCCCATAAAGCTAGCCTGGGTAATGCAGTAACTCAGATTATCCATAGCTCCCATGGGACACCACAGAGCCTTCATATAATGGGACAGGTCCCAGAAATGCTGATTTGAAAGTCTACTGCCTACTTCCTCAACCTCTAGCTAGCTGCCCATTAGAACTGTCTCATTTTCAGCTCATTAGGATACTCAGAAGATCAAGGCTATACTCTTTACTCTGCAGATGATTTGCTATGTGATCTTTGACAACGCACTTCATTTCTCTAGGTCTGTTTCCTCTCCCAGATGTCTGTCTTGCCTATTTTTCCTGCAAGGTCTTCAGGGCAAGGGTTCTCTCTCACCATGTTTGCTTAGTGCCCAGCATGAGGAACCTTACATTTCTGCTCTTGGAGCTATTCATAAATAATCTGTGTATATACAAAGGGCTTAGTCTGTCTGTCTGTGCGTCTGTCCGCCTGTCCGTAACACTCTTGGGAAGCCTGGCTCCCGGCGAGGCAGGGCTCCAGCCAGTGCTGCATCAAGGGTGGTGGGTGGTGGCAGCGGGTGCTGCGTGAAAACTTCTTCCCCGCCCCCACTCCTGGGAGGCAGAGGCGGCGCAGGGTGGTGGGTGTCAGTGCTCCGTCCCCGCCTGCCCCCACCCCCCATCATTGTTGACGGGTAATTCTCTAGTTAATAAAGAATGCTAATGGGAAACAATAACTTACATTTTGAGCGGATCATGCATGTTTTGCAAAGCTCTGCAAAAGTATTGCTGATAATCAACAATCAAAAAATCCTGTATCCATGTAGTTGTTTTCATCTAAGACCACCTGTAAGTACTGCATAACTACACCTTCCAGCTATCCTCCTGGATTTGCTGGCCTTTGTGAAATGAGTTTGGGGACTCTCAGTCTATTGCTACCGGACAAGATTCCACTTCAATTCCCTTACTGCCGCTGGTGCTAATTGACAACCTGGTCATTAGTCTCAGCTGAGGACACAAGACCGAAGCCATATTTAGACTGAGGGCCTGATTCACCACAGAACGACTCCAGTTTTATTCTGGCCGAAATCCTTTGGAATGCGCTGAGCTTCTGCAGCAATGTGCAGCTCACCAGCTGATCCCACCAACGAAACAGCTGTAAGGGAATCCACGCATGGCATCGACAGAATGCTGGAATGGAATCCACGCTGCGCTGGCGTTATAGCGTCACGCAACGGGAACGGCACTCAGATGACTCAGACCCTGAATTCTCAGTCCAAGAGGTTGTCCCCAGTGGATCAGGGCCGAGGCATGCTTGTGGGTTAGCACAGGAAACCGTATCCTGTACATAAACAGAAAACTCCACTTGCCAGGGCTGGCAGCCCAGCCATCTTCACCGCAATAAATTCATTTTGATCTGACAGGTCCCTCCTCCATGAGTTGCTATATATGTCTGGATAGTCCATGTAAATGGAGTGGAGGTAGCATCTTCAGTGCCCTCTGGTACGACAGAAATCAGCACGGCCCCTAGTGAAGCCCTGCTCCAAAATGCTATTGGTCAGAGCAGATCAGGGACCTGTAATCAGATTCCTGAAGGCTCTGGGTCTGATTCTGGGGTTAAAATTATGTCCTTAAACTTCCTTTTTTGTTATATTCCTTTTTTTTTTTTTTTTTTACCAAATGGTCTCAGCAGCCATGGGAGCCTTTTTCCTCCTGCCTTCATGTTAAACATCTCTGGAGCAAATAATCACATGAAAACCACATCAAGTTATGTGGATGAGATATTAGCAAGATGACGTTTCTACCAAACATGATTATAAACACAACAGAAGAGAGGAACATAAGGGCTCTGTATTTCCCATCCAACCCCCTTTGTGTTTCAAATGTATCTGAGAGTAAAGCATTTGTTTTAAAGTTCTGCTGGTTTATATACTGATAATAATTTCTTTTTCTTTCTTCATTTTTTTTTTATTGTTTATGTTATGTAATACAAATCCAGCCTGGTTGTGAGGATGCTGTTGCAATGGTTTTATTGCTGACATATTAGCCCCTTGACATCAGTTGGCAAGTTGCACACTGTGGCAAAAACCCAATGGGAGAGAAAGGGATGTAGATATTAAGTTGTGTTATGACTGTGGTTCTCAAGGCACTGGTATGTGGAAGCCTACAATAGTAGCTGTGTGAATTTACCATTCATTGCTGCTCTGCTGCTGTTTAAGAGAAAACTCACATCAGACTTAATTATTCTTTGGGAATATTTAATCCCGTGAGAAGGGGATGGACGGTGTATTTATTTATTTTAGATTTTTATAAAATGCCCATGGCAAAACATCTGGGTCAACGGATACACAGCTAAACAAAAACTCAAATCAGCCATTCTTTCAACCCATGGAGAAATGGGCAAATAAAAAATGAATACATGAACAATAATTAATGAAAGCTGAGTAGGTCAACGTGATCTAGGGCTGACTGACCTGAACATGGAAAACTTACACTGTGGTCCTGACTCTCATATACACTGAGGGTACTTTATACCACTCTGGCAGAATACATGAGCCTTAAAAAGGGACACAAATTACATGTATGCTGATTGTAAGGCCCCCTTACACTGCCAGAATGATATAGATGGGGCTTAGTCCAATCAGAATAAGTTCTCAAGTCTTCAGTGCACCCACTGCGTGGGTCCCGTGGATACCCAAAAACTGGGAGCTCTAAAGAAGGGATGCATTGCTACTGAGAAACATTGCTCAGGCTGGAAGTTGGGACTGAAAGGCAGGAAAAATACATAATGATGTCATATATCTTAGTCTGAAATGAGGCAATCAGGTTAGCATCACAGGTAGGAACAAACAACAACCAAATATGTCCCAGCTTAATGTCTTTTATTAGATAAGGGCAAACCACAAGAAGAATTAAAAACCATAAAGGCTCCATGAAAGAGCATGGTATGTGGAACTCCTATTAACCAGCTGCCGGAAGTAAAGATAAAAATGGCTACTGGCCACTGCCACAAGGGAATCTTTTTAGAAATGTTACCATGCAGAAACTTAAGTGGAGAACAATCATAAATCACTGAAGCTTTCGGGTGTCTTTTCACCGTGTCTTTTCACCAGTCATTGGGAGAAAATGTCTTAGCAGAAGATATTCAAATACGGGAACAGAAGTTATAGATGACCCTGACTCACAAGCCTGAAGCAGAACAGCTCTAAACTTTGAGGGGATTAAAAATGCAGTGATGCATGGATATTTACAGTGGAGTGTGCCCCTCCCAGCGTGGTTTAATTCAGAACCTTCCAAGAACAAGAAAACATTTAGATGTATGGTTTAGCCTTTGGCCTTTTCTAGTTTATATGCTTTGAAATTTTTTACATGGGCAAGATCCCTGATCCCTTTTGCACTGATAATATTCTGCAGGGAAATGGCAGCTGTGGACGCCCTAACTCAGGAGTTGGCAACCTTTTGGGGCAGAGTACCAAAAACACCTGCAACCTTAACTTGTAAGATGTTGGTGTACTGGGGCAGACAGCAGGGGAGCTGCGAGGGGCCCGATCCTTGTTGTGGAAGCGCAGCCCTGGCCCCTTCCTTGCTGTCTACCCTGAGGCATGTGTGCCAAGCAAAATGCCTTCATGTGCTACGCTCTGGCACCCGTGCCGGGGATTGCCTACCCCTGCCCTTACTATAAGGAAGGTCACCTGTTCCTTTCTGTTTGCCAGCAGTAGGGAGGGCTGGAGACCATCAGAAGCTCTGAAGTTCCTCTAGTTTGTCCTAAGGGCAAAATATAGGAGCAGAAGAGTGGGTAGAGGGCATAAGGCGACCTCGTGTGCACTGAGCACCAGGACAATATACTGGTGGAATTAAAACTGCTCCTGATTCATCATGCAGAAAACTACATCACTGCAAGAGGTTTATGTAGTTTCCCTGTACCTTTAAGCATGGAGATGATTTCCCCCTGTCAATGCCTACAATGCCTGTCAATTTAACAAACTAGGGGTATCATACATACTAAAAAACAACTAGCCCCATAGCCTAGAAAGCTCATTAACTTTCTATAGGGGTCTTCTTTCCCTTCACGCCATTTACTATTCCTGGTTGCTTGGGTTAGATGCATATAGTTCACAACCTGCCCTGTGAATCCTATTTAAAAAACACAGCATTTCAGATAAAACCACAAAATGAGTGGTACTGTGTAAAACTGGGTAACTTTAACTGGCCTAACGCACACAATATCCTACCTACAAGGAAAATGCTGCTCTTTGCAAGCTCAAAACCAGCTCAGAGGAAGGGGGAAATACTTTTAATCCTCACTCCAGGTGGCTGGATGCATTTAAAATGGTAAACCTTCCCACAGGAATTCTTAAGGCTTTTACAGTTCAGTTATGGCTTGGATCTTTGACTAATGGTTTTCCGGAAAAATGAGTTATACAGGATAAAATACCATTTTTGTACAGCTATCTGAACATTACCAAGTGAAATATGCAGGGCTTGATTGGTGTGAGCAAGAAACAGCCCTGCTAGTGTCAACAAGCCCAAATTGGTGGAAATCTGGTATTAACAAGAGAAGGATCAACTTCCTGGGACTGGGCTTTACTACCAGGCTGATGAAAACTTTCTACAATGGCAGTGGCTCGAACGTCTATAAAATCTAATAGGAAAATATG